AATGTACACAAATGACAAATGTAACCTAGACTGTATAGCAACACAGCGCTATCTACTGTAAACTTTCTTTAAACTTAATAACTCAAAGTCAAAAATGAAGGATTTGTGGACATATGTTTATATAGACTTTTGTCCTTCTTTTGGTGTGAGGAACCCACCCCCAAACTTTGTAAAAGTATTTTTGATACACCCTGTATATACTGGGCGCGATGGGTAAATTGCCACCATTTTATATTTTTAATTTGGGGCATGCGCGTTGTTTTTTCTTTTATGACACGATGTGTAGGACGCAGATGAGCGAGAGGTCAACAAAACTCCTTGTAACCCCAGGATGGACTGAAGGCAAGGATTATGGCAGCATTCACCAACTTAAACAAGGAGACCGTCCAGGATAGTTGCAGGAAGCCGTGGTTGAAGCTAATGGCGATTTTATTGAATAAATTTACTCTTTGATACCTCAAGATATTTTTGTTTAATTTCGGTAACTATATGTTAAAATGAAATGTCAGCGTTATTTTCATTTTAGCGTAATTTAAGCGACAATTTATACATCGCACTCTGTATACACCGGGTGCGATGGTTAAATTGTCGCCATTTTATATTTTTAATTTTGCGCATGCGGGTTGTTTGGTTTTGATTTTGTCGACGGCATATTATAGTAGGGTCAGTTGGGCACCGTCTTTGAGAAAAAACAGGAACATGACGGAATTCACTCCACCAGAAATTTGGAAACGGCATGCTGTACTGCTTGGCATTTACGCCGGAAGCTCCGATACCAACATTTCAGAGTGTTTAGCTGTCAATGTGAAGACAGTGCAGAGGATTCGGAAAGAGTTGGATGATGAGTTTATTGGTGATTACGAAGGTACGGTAGCTCGGAAATATATGCTGGACCTTTTTTATCTTAGAAAAATAGTACTTTTAAACAAATATGCATTTCCCCGGAACCTGGAAACAATATTTTAGAAAAAAACAACAAAAACAAACAAAACGAAAAGTGTAGCAGTAGTAAATGATAACAAATAAAATGTGACAATATGTAGCGGCAGAGAAGTAAAATCCTCGATTATTATTATTATTCAAAAGTTTCTGAAACAATTAAAAAAAATGTGTAAGTTAAGTAAGTAAATTCTGCATTTTCCGTCTTTCCTAACAAGATGTTGAACCGTAGTCCTTTTGGTTTTCAGTTTTCTGTTCAAAGAAGAATCAATTCATTTTTTTTTGCGCGCACACACACGGGTGTGGATATTGAAAATTATTGGTCCGAAGAAGGGATTCAGAGACAAAAAATTCTATTTAATTAGATTTTGGGAAATGGGTCGGGCCGATAACTTTTCAGCACCTCTTTGTGTGTAACGGTGTACAGTACTGTACTGTATGTGTTACGTGCGTACGTATGCACACATCTACACGTTAACGTTAGGTTAAATTATAGTTCATTGTCAAGGAAAAATTGTTACATTCGGGCCTGTAGCTAAATCATGAAAAAAAATTCATTTTTATATACAAAATGAAAAAAAAAAAGTATTTTTCAACATAGTCTCTTTCCTTGTCAATGCACCGGAAAGCAATGCTTCTCGCTAGATCACAGACCGACGTCAATTTCAGATCAAAATTTAGGTAATATTGAAAGAAAAATGATGAGTATTATTGGTGAATTAAATTAAATAATTACAAAATGTTAAATCTCTAGAAAATAAATAATCGCCATTAAAATTCAACTATGCTTAAGTTTAAAGAAATATTTCCTGACATTAAAAAAATAAAAAATAAGGCTTTGTTAATTATTACAATTACATTCATTACAATATTCTTTTTTTTTCAAAAGGAAACAATTTCACGTTTCAACTAAAAAAAGTTATTAAAAAAATAATTTCTTTTTTAGTTTGATTTAGTCTCCTTTTCTTTTCTGAAGATAATAACAGAATTTGAAATTACATTTATTTATAAAATAAAATAAAAGGATATAATCAACGAGTGTTTTTCGAGCTTGATAAAGAAAGTCATAAGAAAACGTAATAAGTAAAAAAATTTAAAAAGTCTTCCTTGCCAATAAGGAGCCCCCCCCCCTATGAATTTACCTTAAATAGGGAGAGAACCGTTAGCGGAGCTTATTATTTTTAAAATGATCAGCTGTTGACAAAAATATAAAGGCATAACAATACTCCAAAACAGAAATACGTAAAAAATAAATTAATGTTTAGAAAAACAAGTGTTTATTTTCTATTTTGTTTACATTTCTTACTTCCTGGTTCTATTTTATTTTAAATATGTCACAATTTTACTTTACGGATGTTATTCTTTCTTTGTATTTTTTTTTAATCTCAACGGTTTTTTTCTCTTTAATTTAAACCAAAAGTTTGACTAAAATAATCAGACTTTTATAAATATTTATTTCCTATTATAATTAGATATAAACTGATTTTTTTTTAATTTGCAAACTTTGCAACATTTTTTTTTTTACTTAGAGATCGTCTCGGTATTTAGGCGCCAAATAATTTTTAAATTTCCGAGTGATTTCTTCATCAAGCGACAAAAGCCTTTTTCACGAAAATTGTAATTCAAATAAAAAAAAATGTTTTAATCAAATAATTTTAGAAATGTTTAAAATTAAAGAGAGTAAAATAAATGAAAAATAAAAATGAAATATTTATTTTCGAGAAGTAAATGATTTTTTGAGAGAGAATGAAAAAAATGGAAGATTTTTTATTTAATTACAGGATGGAACATTGAAAATATAGTCAACGTTTCAGCAGATTAAAAAAACTGAAATTGTTTTACTTTTAATTGCTGTTATAGAAGAGCATGTAAAGGTTCAAAGTTCAGAAAAAGGCATTTTTGGTGATTTTTTTTTTATGTAGAAGAAAATCAAGAAGGCGCCAAGTGGATTGTGGGTAATTTTAAAGATGGTGGCGTGTGGCTTTCCCTTGTGCTGAAGTGAGTGCAAATGAAGATTAAATTTCTCCTGAAAAAAGGGAACGAACAACTCTGTAGACATTTGCCCAAAGACAAGAACGATTCCTGGAAGAAATGTGCCAGTTGCAAACCGACATGTGTGGGAGGTTTAGAAACGAAGCTAAACCATCGAAGGCGACCACAGAGATACTCTTTCGACCAGTAACATTAATATTCTATCCTACCTAGTATTATTGGCGGTTGTATATCTGTGGGTAGTTAAAAAAAAAATATGACGATAAAATTGTCTGTCAGGTGTTGGAAATGACGAAACTTATTTGTTAAATAAAAAAAAAAAAAAAAAAAAACGACACAAGGTTTTTCGAAAAATGAAGAAAGGAGAAGAAAGGTATATGTATATGTATTATGCATGTATATTACATTCACTTATTTATTTATTTCACACCTGGCCCATTTCTCAATGTCGAAGAAAAAAAAAAGGTACAAGTTACTCGAACATAATTGATTTTTTTTTTAATTATGAATATATATTTTTAGATTTATTACAAGCTAAAGTCATGTCAAGTATAATATATTTTTCGTGATTTAAAAATAAAAAGTAAATGGTAATACTAAGTAACTAATAAAAAAATTACTTGGTTTCGTTTAAAAAAAAAAAAAAGTGAAAATAAAAATTCGAAAATTAAAACTAAGCTTTTTTAAATTACTAAATTATTCTAACATCGAATGAATTTTTTTTTAGCGAAATGTAAATTCGTACAGGCATATTTAAAAAAAATATTTAATAAGGAAGATAAGACCAAGAGGCTTTCTTTGCAAATTATTTCAACCCAAGCTAAATTGTGTGTAAGAGAAAGTTACGTCATTTTACCGAAATTGCTTTTAAATAGATTTTTTTTCTTTGATATAATTAAAGTGACATTCAGAATAAGCGAGAATATCATGTGTAAAAAAAGAGAAATTTAATGTAATTTGAGAAAATGTTTATCTAGCACAACGTCAACGAGAAGAGAAAGATTATTAGTACTAAAAGTGAGACGTATATATATATTACTGTATTACATAAAGGGAGATAATAAAAACTAAGACGGTGGTCTGAATTAATAGAAAAACGCTAGCTATGAAAAATAATAGAAAAGGGCAGAATTTTTGTTATTTTGTCGAATCAAGCATGGGGCAGCCCATAGGAAATGGCGGGAAGGCTTTACATGGGAATAGTTCTTCCCAATTCTATGGCCAAATCTTCATACTTTGCTCTCTTTTTTTTTCTTTCTTAATTTTTCAATAACTCATGGCGGCTAGATGATGAAGATGACTAAATTTTGACCTCAGACGTGCAAGAAACTGTTTGCTTATAAAATGTGTTACAGTTAAAAAAAAACGTTCACCTATGACTACCAGCTAATTTAACGTTAACACTGCACGCCTCTTCATTTTATCTGAATTAACTGATTTTGTTATGTTCAAATGCTTTTCGGCTCCATTTTTTTTCTTTTTATAGTAAAAGTGTGTCATTACTGTTTTTATAAATAATCATATTTGTTCTCACTCTCCCCCTTTCCCTTTGCGGAGTGTTATGAAAGAAAGAAAGGATGCAAAAAGTAAAAACTGAAAGAATATAAAGGAAAGGAGTTCGTGTTGCGGAGAATTGTTAATAGGAAAAAGTAAAAAAAAAAAGGTGAGAGCAAAAGAAAAGGGTTGAGTAGATTTAGCTTAAAGAATTAGTGAGAAAAAGACAGAAAAGTAAAAGCTTAATTAGCGAGGAAAAGAGAGTTGAGTAACAATGAAGTATAGTGGGCAGAAATGCTAAAGGGAGGGAAGGTGAGATGAAAGAAAAGCAGTAGGATTAATGAAGGGGTGAGTAATAGGGTTATGGAGAGAGGGGTACATTCGAGTAAAGGCCAAGCTAGGCTACATGTGAATAGGAGGAAGGGGAGCAGCGCCGTTAGCCGTGTTAGTGTCAGCAGCCATCATAGACAAGAGACTAGTTTAATACACAGCATAAGAAGTGTTCAGCACAGCAGCAACTCTAATACACGCAAAGTAGACGTACGCACACACTCATCTTAAAAGTTGATTCCAACATGGGTAAGAGTGCTGACCCTCGGTATTTTTTCTCCCCCTAACTTTTTTTATTTTTTTTTTATTTATTTTTTAACTGTCTTTTTCTTCGTCCAAACAGCATTTAGAAAAAAAATTGTAAAATGGAGAACTGTTTTTTTTTTCTTTGAAATCCTTTTTTAGCGTCAAGATTTTTAACCAATTGCTTTTATATTTAAAACAAAAATTAATTCCAATTTTCGTTAATATTTTATTTACTTGCTTAATTTGTTTATTTTTAGATCAGTTTTCGCTTATTTAAGAAACATTTTCCAACTTATTTTGGGTTATTTCCCCCCCCTCCCTTCTCTTCCGAAAAATATGTCCCAATCTCTTACACTTTGCCTTTAACAATATATCCAAAAGAAGAATTCCTTCTAAAAAAAAAAAAAAAATTTAAAATTACATATTTTGAAGAAGTCTTAAACATGATTTTCTTTAAACTTTCGCTTTTTTGTGATACCTGCATTTTTTTTTATATTGAATGTATTTTTCAAGAAACGTGCCTACTATTAAACAATGGCGGATGATGAAAAAAAGTGAAAAAAAATAGCTCTTGATCCTTTAGAGAACAAATATCCTTGAAATTTTATATAAATACTTCATCTAACACCTTTTCTGTATTTTACTAGTATTCAAATGTTAGTACTTTTATAAAAATCTTACAAGGCAAAAGCCAGTGTAAGCTACTTTTTCAGATGGGCGCCATTGTTTGACAGACGACACTATTCACTTTGAAAAGATATGACTTATTTATACTGATTATACTCTCGAATAAAAAAATATTTGGAAGAAAAGTTTTTTCCTACTTATAAATTAAGTGATTAACACGAATTGGTCTCATTTCATAGGAACTTACTGTTTGTAATCGATACAAAAAAAAATGTTGATTGTAGCGGCTGCCGACCGATCCCTGCAAACTCCGTTTCACTCGGGAATGGGAGATAAGCGCGCTAAACTTGAAAATATGAACTCCGCATATTTTAATCGCCTTGCACATTTTTTTTTTATTTTAAAATGTGTATGCATATAATATATAAAATATAAAAGGTTTTGTTTTAGTTTGTATTTTTTTTTTCTCTTAATATATTTCTAACACTTCATAAATTATTTTGAATGTTCTATGGCTACAGGTGTGTGATTATTCAGAATTTATGTCGATCCGACGAGCATATCAATTTACTTGCTCTTTTTTTTCTACTTCACGCTTAACTTGAATTGTAAATATTTCATGTGTGAATTTCCCCTTATTAAAAAAAAATTTTTTTTTTTTTTAAGTTTGTCAATAATGTGGCCATTTATATTCAGCCATATAAGTTTTAACGTTTTTATTTGTGCTTTTTCTTTTATGATGTAAAAGATTATGGTTATATCTTGTTTTAAATATTTACTTTTTCTCTGGAAACTTCCCTGAGAAGTGCTTCTTTTAAACAAAGTTTTTATTAAATTGCTTCCAAAATTTGAGGTTGATCAAGAAAATTTTAGTTATCGTTTATTTGCAAATTTATCCTCTGAATGTTGATTTTTCTCCGGATTTATGACCGTTAATTTAGTTTAGGTGTCATTTTAAATAACGATCGCTATTTTAAAGTTTCCATTTTGGTTTAGCCGTTTTTGTTTGTAAAATTAAAAACAAAATCTCGTATCTTCTTTCGATCTTATTTTTAAGGAATATCAATGACTTGGCCTCTTTAGATTTTTAAATATGTCTTCTGACCGGTGCCAACTGGTTTTGTAAGGTCTGACAAGAATTATCTCCCTTGTTTTATTATAAGACTGTTTTCTTTATTCTCGATTCAAATTTGAACTTAGAAACGTTTCGTTATACTTCAATCGTAAACAGAGGGGTCCGCCCTTTCATATATATATATATGTATATATTCCACGTTTACGCGCATATTTTAATTGGGTAATTTTATTATAAATATTCTATCTTCCTTTTGGATGGTCAATAAATTTTGAAATAACTTTTTTTTTTTTTTTTTTTTGCTAAAACCGCCATTTTTTTTTTATTTTTTTTTTTTTTAATTTTTTATTTTTTTTAAATTGTCTTAAAAGGATGTGTAAATGTAATATTTGTGATCTTCAGTTATCAGTCATCATAGCATGTATTGTATATTCATTTAATCAGAATCTACTGAAATCTTAAAAGGAAATTTTTAAAGCCTTTAATGTTTAAAAAAAATTTTTAAAGCCTTTAATATTAAAATCTTTAAGTTTCATGACTTAATTCTGCAATTTATTTGATCGGTAGAAACTTTGATAACTTGTTAATTTTGAGCGGTCGAAATTACAATTTTTATTTACTTAGTTTTTTTTTTTTTTAATGTAACAGTTACAAGCAACACTGATATCGCATATTTAATTTTCCCGCTTTCTCAAATTATATACGGCTTGTATTTCGTTAAAATATATCGATTCGGCTTATAAAATTTACTTGCTCTAAATCTTTGCGCCAAGAAAGGAACTCGTTTTTATTTTCATTTGTCCTCGTGCAAAAAATATTGATCCTTTATTCTGTTTTGGATCATTTTTCTATATGGGGTAAAGGGTGGTTGCTTCTGGTGGGCCAGGGCTTAATATCTTTCTTTCTCCTCCTCCTCCTCCTCGCCCGTTAAAATGCCCGGAGGTGGGAGGCAAAAAAATAGTTTCCTCTTCACTCTTCTGCCCTTTACTTAAAAGCTGATGAACAAAGAAAGGGACGTCGACCAATGTTTCCCCTCCCCCTGTTTCTATCTCTTTCTCTCTAGACCAGTAGAAAATCTTCGTTATATTTTTTTTTTTTTTTTTTTTTTTTTGCTGATGATAAAGGCAAGAGTTAAAATAAAGCAAACTTGTCACGTCGTTCGCCCCCCCCTGAAATATTTGTTTTTGTTTTAACCATGCAAATGATTTCTACGCTGTTGCCTCCCTTGTTTTTTTTTTTTTTTGCCTGCCCGATTATCTCCTCCTGTAACTTTGTACTTCGTTAATTTTGCCGCTAACAACCTATAAATATAAAGTTGCCGATCATTATTTCCCCAATCTTCTGAATTCAAATAAATTGTAACGTCGAGTGACACTTTTTTTTTTTTTTTTTTTTTTTTTTAAATAAATATTACATACGGTCAAGCAGCTAGCAAAACAAACTTTAGCTTATGAACTTAAAAGCCCTATTAAATATCCCCACCCGCTAAAAACTTAGATCGAGCAGCCTCCGTAGATTTATCCTAAAAATTAAGCCGGGTTATTGATTTAAAATATTTTAACATCGGTTTTACTGTTTCTTAGCTTTGTGTATAGGCTTGAATTAAAAAAAAAAAAAAAAAAAAAAATTTTTTGTGGGCAGGTCTCACAGAAGAGAGCTTCGGACGTTTTTTTTATTTGTTTGCTAACCAGGAAGTTGGTTTGATATGTCGGTAGCCAATATCAATAAACATTAAAGAAGTTAATTGGTGTCCACTTGGTTCATTTTAAGAGAAAGCTCTTTAAATTTTATGTCTGTTCATATCACACAGTCACTAGATTGACGACTATTAATAAGATGAAACTATTATTCAGTTATCTACTGTTTGATATAATTATTTTTTTTATTTTGTAGTACATCCTCTCCTCTATTTACTTGTCATCTCAATGAATATAAGTCTGAACTTAGGAGAATGTATAATGTAAAAGACTAATTTCTGAGATTGGTTTCGTGAGGGTTAATTGTTGGCCAGAAATCATAAATCTGTAATGTAGTGCTTTGTTTAGCAGCCTTTTATATTTATTTATTATGGTATGTAAAAAGAAGCACACTTTGAGTAAAAGATATAGGTTTTTAATCTTCTATATTTCTGTAAAGCACAGTGTTTTAATGTGGTAGTAATACATTTTTATTTTCACTCATCTAGAAATATAAGAATTATCCAAAAATAACCAGATCTATTTTTGATAATTTATTTTTAACCTTTTATGCAATAATCAGCATATATGAAAGTTCCTTTTATATAATGAAATCGACAAAAATTAATTTGAGTATGACTTGATAAAGCATACTTCATATTAAAGAGTAAAAAAAATGATTTTTGCATAGAAAAACATTTTGTTGACAATAGGGTTGTTTTATCAGTCAACAATGTATTTAACTTGAGCATTGACAGACATGATCCTCTAATAAAAAGGTGAATGTCATTTTTCTGACAAGCTGTCCTGTTACAAGAATTTTTTTTATTTTATTTATTCCCCCAGTATGTTTTTTAAGTACATAAGCTTGTCATTTTTTTTTTAAACATTTCTATTGTACCAAACAAATATGGGCATGTTTTTAGATTTTACATTTACTGTAAACATGTATTTTTTTCCAATATATTTAAGTAAATTTAAGATTATTGATGGAAAGGTAATCTAGTTTTAAACTTGAATTTGAACCCCTTAGACTTTTTTAATTGATTAAACTCACTAAGTTGTTTTGCCATATTTGCTCTCTGTTGACCTAGTTGTAATGAGAAATTTAAAGTTAATTGTAATTTTCATTTATAAAATTAAAATCTGAATTTGTTTCTTTGAAACTGTACTTTTTTTTTTTTTTTAAGTGGTGGAAAATGATACTTGCAATCGTTATTTATAAATTGATTTACTTTGTCTTTTCCTTCATTATTGAAGGTCGTATGAAGATAGAGAAAGGCAAGAGGAAGAAAAGCAAAAAGCCGAAAGATGTTAACAAACCAAAAAGGGCAACATCAGCTTATTTCTTCTACATGGCCTCTTGCCGTGATCAGGCAAAAAAAGCTGGTAAAAATGTTTCAAAGGTAATACAAAATTAAATTAATTTGTAGTTTAAAATGTGTTGAAATATCAATAGTTGATCAAATTTATTTAAATTGTTTTTGTGTGAAAGGCTAAAATAGTTTTATTTCTTGTGTTCAGGTAGCAGAGTTCACTAAAGAATGCTCTGAAAAATGGAAGAATTTGAGTTCTTCACAAAGGAAGCCTTTTGATGAAAAGGCTGCTAAAGATAAAGCCAGATACGAGAAGGAGGTAAGCCAGAAATTCTTGCATTGATTGAACCACATCCATTTGGGATTTTTAGCAACCCCCCCCCTCCTGATTGTAAAAACAATAAGTAGTTAGATTTGTTGGGTAAAATAATGTGGCACTGCCTTTTGTGAATTAATATCTTGTGCCATAGTGTGTATTTAAAAAAAAAAAAAAAAATTTTTTTTATTTTTTTTTTAAAAACCTGAATTGTTAGATTTTAAATTAGTGAATTTTGAGGATGCTTTTCAATAAATATATATACATTTATATTTTTATTTATTTTTCCTCTCTCTCTCTCTTTCAGATGGCAGAGTACAAGGGAAAATCCTCGGGAGATCCAGACAAACCAAAAAGACCACCAACATCTTATTTCTTGTTTTTGGCAGACTTCAGGAAAAACTATGTTCCCAAAGACAAGTCTGAACAAAATTCTGCTCACAAAATAATTCTGAAAGAAGGTAATTATAACTTTCATTTGTATATAGGTGTATAGTAGTAAGTTCTTTGTAATATTTTAAAAAACTGAAGAAAAAAAAAAAGTAATGGTAACATTTTTTCTTTCTTAAATTAATCTTTTGAACTTTGGGCCCCCAGAAGTCCATGCTTCTGGCTTGTATGCATACTTTTACACTGACTGCTTGGGTTTAAGTTGTTGTTTTTGTTTTTTGTCTGTGTCTGTCTGTCTGTGTCTGTCTGTCTGTCTGTGTCTGTCTGTCTGTGTCTGTCTGTCTGTGTCTGTCTGTCTGTGTCTGTCTGTCTGTGTCTGTCTGTCTGTGTCTGTCTGTCTGTGTCTGTCTGTCTGTGTCTGTCTGTCTGTGTCTGTCTGTCTGTGTCTCTGTCTGTCTGTGTCTCTGTCTGTCTGTGTCTCTGTCTGTCTGTGTCTGTCTGTGTCTCTGTCTGTGTCTCTGTCTGTCTGTGTCTCTGTCTGTCTGTCTGTCTGTGTCTCTGTCTGTCTGTCTGTCTGTGTCTCTGTCTGTCTGTCTGTCTGTGTCTCTGTCTGTCTGTCTGTCTGTGTCTCTGTCTGTCTGTCTGTCTGTGTCTCTGTCTGTCTGTCTGTCTGTGTCTCTGTCTGTCTGTCTGTCTGTGTCTCTCTGTGTCTGTCTGTCTGTCTGTCTGTCTCTGTCTGTCTGTGTCTGTCTGTCTGTGTCTCTGTCTGTCTGTCTGTCTGTGTCTCTCTGTCTGTCTGTCTGTCTGTGTCTGTCTGTCTGTCTGTCTGTCTGTGTCTCTCTCTGTCTGTCTGTCTGTCTCTGTCTGTCTGTCTGTCTGTCTGTGTCTGTCTGTCTGTGTCTGTCTGTCTGTCTGTCTGTCTGTGTCTCTGTCTGTCTGTCTGTCTGTGTCTCTGTCTGTCTGTCTGTGTGCTTTAAGGAAAAATAAATGATTCCTTTTATATTTCCAGCTGGTGAAAAATGGCGTGATATGACACTGGAAGAGAAGAAGCATTATGTGAAAAGAAGTGAGGAGGAAGTAAAAAAATATAAAGCTGCAATAGCTGATTATAAAAAGGTAGGTTGGTACTCTTTTTTTTGTTTTGTGTTGTTGTTGTGGGTATAACTTTGATAGTGTTTCAAAATAATTTGTAGATTGTGATTAAAGCAGGGAAACTGATTATCCTGGAGTAACTAAGATGGTTCACCAATATGACATAGTGCAAAAATCTTGGTCAGGACTATTTAGAATTTTAGCTTAAAAATGTTAGCATTGTCAATTTTTCAGATATGACTTGCTGTTGAATCTGTTTTGCTAGAATGATCAATCTTGTGAATTTATTTTCAGAAATCAAGTGGTGCTGTAACGGGTGGCTCTTCAGCTAAGAAAGCTAAAGTAGTGGATGTAGAAGAAGATGAAGATGATGAAGAGGAGGAGGAAGATGAGGAGGAGGAGGAGGAAGAAGGAGAGCCTGAAGAGGAGGAGGAAGATGAAGAAGATGAGGAAGATGATGATTAGTTTTGTTCTTGTGTGGTGGCTTTACAAGCCTCACAAATGATTGTACATTTGTAGAGTGGATAGACAAATTTCTCTCTCTCTCATTTCTTACCTCCTGTTTTTTTTTTTTTTTATTTTCCTCCCTTTTAACATTGGCTCAAATTCAGTTTTCTATAATAATCCCATCCCACCAATTTTCCCTGCTGAACACAAATCATTCAATACAAAACTAAGTATCCTTCAGACAGTTTTTCATGTTTATGTAGTTCATTTTTAGGCCATTAGTACATCTTTATTTTTATTTTATTTTTTTATTTTTATTTTTTTTCCAAACTTTATCATTCACAAATCACATTCCTCTCAGGTTCTGACTTGACCTTCAGGTAAGGACTGCCCCTATCCTTATCCCTTTCGCTTCCCATATTATTCAAGGTAAATTTTTCACATGGGTTTGAACATTTCATTATATTTAACTTTTGTGTACAATTGGGTCTTCATATTTCTTTCAACCCACTTTCTTGTTAGGCACAGCTTTTTCTTAATAGTAAATTTAAATGTTTTTCTGTTTTTTTTTTTTTTTTTTTTTTTTTTTTGTTTTGTTTTTTTTTTTTTTTTCTTCTTTTCCTTCTTCTAAGGGAAAAATATTAAGACATTTTAGTGATTATTTGGAATTTTTATATTTCAAGTCTTGAGAGCAAGTGAAGGAAATCCAAGTGTTAAACTCTTGACTTTTCTTCTTTGTCTCCCTTTTTCTGATGGAGGTGCCTTGTACAATAAAAACTTGAGGAATCTTTCAGATTGAAAAAAAAAAAAAAAAAATATTTATTTCAAAATTTTTTTTCTTTTTCTTTTTCTTTTTTTTAATACTTTAATTTTCTTTACCAAAATCTTTTGCTTCTGATTTGTTCTGATATTAAAGTACTCAGTGCCAGTTCAATCTGTAATTTTTTCTCATGTTTTTGTGATTTGGATATCAAGATACGAATTCCTGTTTTTATTCTTTATTTTTGACTAAGAAAAATAAAACATATTTTTAAAAATGGGTTTTTATGGATGTTTCTATGTTTTGGAAAAAGATTCTGCCTTTCTCAGATTACTGAAATAATAGTGTCTTATTTATTGATATACTTTTATCTGGTTATGTTAGTTAAGCTAATTGTATTTGAAAAAAAAATTGTTATGCAAAATATTTTGTATAGTCCCTTCCCCTCCTTTTGAAATAAACTGTTGATTTGTTCACTGTGCGGGTACAGGACACGTCCTAGAAACAATCAATTAAATTTTGATGTAATTATTTATAAGTAAAGCCTCTAATTAGTGAATCTTCTACCATACTGCCATCATTGTTAGTGTCAAGCAAGCCTATGCTAAAGATGGCTAGTTGGTCTTTTTGCATGTGAATAATGTCTGCCCTCTTCAACAGTGGTTCCTTAATCTGTTGACCACTTTTGTTTGTGCCATCCTCCTTTTTGTTTCTTAGTCCACGTGTTCCTTACACATCTCTATGGAGAGAACAATGTGCAGATGTTTTTTTGTCCACTAAATAAAAATACAAATGATTAAAATTACCTCTGTCAATGGAAACATTTGAAAAATAAATAATTTCAATGTCTCTTGTAGTTTATTCCTAATAAAATAAAAAAAAAAAATCCATATTCATTTTCTCTTTCTCTTTACTGACTTTCATGTATAGTTTTTGTTTTTGTTCCCCACCCTCCCAGAATTTTTTTAGCTTTTTTTTTTTTTTTTTTTTTTTTTTCTTTTCTTTGACTCTCAGTTGATCTCTATTTAGCTTTAACTGTACACAGTATATTTTAAATATAAGTTATCAAATCTCTGAGAAAGTCTTAGTTGCTTTTTTACCAACTTTAATGGCTTGTTTCTTTTACTGTCATTTTATGGTAGGAGTAATAGAAATCTCTTATGATTTCCATCTTGTACATTTAAATGCGGAATAGGATAACTAAGTGGAAAAGGCACCTTTTTGTTTATTCAATCCATATTAGAATTCAGCCACACTGCAGTATAAAATGTTAACTGCAAATTTTTAATTTAAACAACAAAACTTTGTGTCCCTCATGGACAATGAATTTTTTTTTTTTTTTTTTTTTTTTTTAAGAAACTTTCAAGACTTTTCACAAATGAATGAAATTTAAAAACTCTTCATGTTGCCGCATCCCCCCCCCCCCCATGACGTTTTCAGAAATTTTTGTCAATCTTGATATTTATATTAGTTAAAAGCAGGACACTTTGAATGTTATTTTATTTTCAAACTAGCTCTACCAAAAATCTGCTAAATCATAAAGAAATACATTATTAAAAAGATAAAACTTTTAATTGCTTATAGGATATCTTAAGGAAAAATTTGTTTTTGATAAATAATGAATTTTTACTCTTTAATTAAAATTAAGTTTTAAATATTTTTAATCTTTTAAAATTCTCTTAATTTAACTCTTAAGTGAAAACAATTTACTAATAAATTGAATAGCTTTCTTTTTGTAGTAAATTTACAGCCAAAGATATTTAAAATTTGAAAAATATTATGGAGAATGTTCGTATTTGAATACTTCAAAAAACTTTTTTAATTCCATCAAGCTATCGAACCCACAAATGCCTTGGCCAGCTGTCTGGTTAAATATTGCATTTCTGAGATCTGTTAAACTTAAAATAAATAGTTGTTTCAAATCTGATTAATTAGACTTTTAAGTTTTTGGGTCCCTTTTTTCTTTTTTTTTTTTTTTCTTTTTTTTAAATAAAAACTGACATTGCAATGAAAAGCTACTAAAAAAAAAAAAAGGGGTGCAGAAGAGATTTCCACATGCAAGAGAAAAAACTAGCAATCAATTTAAATTAGTTTTTTTAAATACAGCAAAATAGTTTGGCTATTGGAAATACTAAATTTAATCTATTAGCTTGAAATTAAATAAAAATTGTCAAGAAAATTTTTAAAATTTAATTTAGACCATAGGTGTGTGTGTGTGTGTGTGTATATATAATAAAAAGTAAAATGTTTGATTTTCAAATTGTTAAATGAGCACTTAAAATTGGGAAAACTATAAATTACTCTTATCAGATTTTAATTCTAGAACAGAAATTTGTTACTTTTCTGCAAAGTTTTTTTTTTCTTTATTTCACTCCAAGAAAGGCAATAAAGCCACTAAAATGCAAGAAGTTAATGAGTATGGAGAAACAAAAGAATGAATTAAGACTTGATAATGATTGCCACCACATTTAAATCTTTTTAAGATTGGAAAGCCAGAAGAGAGTGCCACATAGAAGAGAAGAAACTATTAGCAGAGAACTATACATTTATCAATTTCAACAGTAAAATGAAACCTTGCCACCAATCTAGTCTAGTACTGTGATTAAATTCATAAAGTCTGCATAGCAAAGAGAAAAGCTCATTGGAACAATTACAAAGATGATATAGAAAAGATACAGCAAAGCTACTTTTATAGTGGTGGGAATGTGACTGAAGCTGATATACCAGGTCAGAACCAATAACGATGCAAAGGATATTTTTCTCAAGAGTCTCTGAATACATAGAAGTACTAGACCAGATGTGGCAACAATATTCAATGAATGGAAGACTTAAAAACATGTAAGAAAGATTCTGGCAAGGAAAATTGTCAAGTATGACAACCTCTTTTCCTGGCAATTGATTCAGTATAATCTACTTCATGTGAGTAGGAGATGTTAGCCCAAAAGGGTGTGGTCACTCTGCTGGCGGTTAGCCTCAGCCATGCTCATGAGAAGCAACAAAAGTTCTCTCTGATAAGATTAGTTTAATTTTGAAGGTGCTAAGAATTAAGAAGAGAATGCTGAACATCTATGTAATAGCTAATCTATAGGGCAGTGGATGCTGAACAATCTCTTCACAGATGGATAAGAGACTTGAAGCAGCCGAGATGTTTTATTGATGAATGTTGACAATACCATGGACTGAATATGTGAGCAACAATGAATTTTTAAAGAACAGGAACACCAAGATAACATACAATCAGAAAGAGAAAGCTGAAATTTGGGGGATATCTAATAAAGAATGTCTACAGAATTTGACACTTACAGGGCATATTGAAGGTAAGGAGGAAATAGTGAGTTTGGGTAAATGGATGATGGGAACAAAGAGAATATGGCGCTTATAAAAGTAGGCCCACTCAATATTCGAGAAATCTTAGACTGATGATTTCTTGAATATTCAGGCTGGTATTCATCTACTCAGATAGCCACTAAAAATAACTTTCAAGTAATAAAATGTTGGATTAATAAATGAAAAATCCATTCCTAAAAATTGCATTGTTTACATTAGGATATGAAACAGCAGATATGTGTATTTTGAGATTTGGGAAAAATCTGTTTAAAAGCACAATTAGAGCTTAACTTGGCCATCAGGTGCTCTGTAGCTGCGAGGTCAAATCTAATGACAGTTTCTCCGAGGGAAATGCAGGTTTGAATCCTGCTGGAGAGCGCATATTTTTATAAGATTTCTCAAATATTCAGGTCAGTAGATGAAATATATATATTTATATGTATACTGTTTAATAAATAAACAGAGCATCTACTCAAATATGGGTATTCGTTAAAAATAATGTCTAAGTAATATAAAAATGTTGGATTAATAAATACAAGAATATAGATACATTAGATGTGAACAAAAAATTTCAGTATTTAAATTTATTTTAAAAAATATCTGTCTGTGTCTGTTTAGTAATAAAAAAAAAAAGTAAAAAGCCAGGTGCTGGCAACTACAACATACACTTAATACATTCGCAAAAGATATATTTTACTGTTTACTTTTGTTTTTCTAAATCATTTCACCTCAAACAAGGTAATAAAGCCACTAAGATGCAAGGAGTTACTGAGTGTGAAAGAATATGAGGAAATGAAAAACATTAAGGAAAGAGAACAATAACAGATTTCAAGATCAAAAATAACGATTGACATTGCATTTAAATGTTTGAAGATCAAAGTTGACTGAGAAGAAGTCAGAAGAGATTTCCACAAGCAATAAGTACGATAGAAGAAACTCTTAGCAGAGAACTCACGGTTACATCAAGTCATTTTAGCTGGAAAATGAGATCTTGCTGTCAATCTAGTACTGCACTTAAATTCAAAAGTCTAGGTGCTGTAGAGGAAAGATCATTGGAACAATTACCATGCAAGTATAGAAAAGTCACAGGGAAGCTACGTTATGGCAGTGGGAAAGTGACTGAAGCCGAGATACCAGGTCAGGATTGATAACATTGCAAATTCTATGGATTTTATCAAGAATCTCTAAATATATAGCAAAAGCACCAGATCAGATGTGGTGGCAATATGCAATGTATGGAAGAATGGTGGACTTATAAATGAGTAAGATAGATTCTGGTGAGAAAAATTGTCTAGCATGAAACAGTGAACCAATGTTTTTAGTAGCAGATCTAGCAATTGATTCAGTATAATCTTTCCACTTCATGTTAGTCTGAAAAGGCACCCCGAGTCACTCTCCTGAAGGTTAGTATCAGCCACACATTGGGAAGGCAAATAGATTCTCTCTGATGATTACAAAAGAGCTGTTTTATTTTGGAGGCATTTACTGAATATGACTAATACATTTGCTGTAATACAACATACATTATAGAAGAAAATGTACTAATATACATAAATATCTACATCAATGTAATCATATTCAGACATACATACAGGTTAATTTTCTCTCTATATGCAGTGGCAAACACATTGTTTACAATTTAAACAGTCATAAATTTTTAGAATGAATACCACCTTCCATGCATACAAGAGTACTCGTTAATAATTCTATGCTTGTTTGATCCCCAGAGTTAAGCAGTGTTGATATTGGTCAGTATTTAGATGGGGTACTGCTTGGGAACACCAGGTACTGTAAGCGACCTATTACAATCCGAAATATGTTTCAGATTTAAATAATCCACAAAGGGTTGATAAGTTGTAAAAAACAAAATAATTCTATGTTTGATGTCATATATCTCACTGTTATCAGGGCACCTGGAGGTGGTGTAATGGTTAACAAGCTTGTCTCGCTAAAACAATTATGAATGAGTAGTGAGTTCGATCCTCACTGGGTGCCCCTTCCTTTCGGCCTTGTGCCACATCCAAGCTATGCTTGGAAAATCACTATATCACTGTTATCAGTGGACCTGGTGGTCCTGGTTCAAGCAAAAGAAAAACGATTTTGAATGCTGATTTTCAAGGCAGGTAGACTCTTTCTACTTTGACTATCACTCCACTTCTCATTATTTCATTTTCATTCATTAATTTTTTTTTTTTTTTTGCACAATGTATTACAAAGATGTGCTTTGCTGCTATGAATACAGGCTACAGTCAAAAAGTGCAAAAAGACGATGTAGAACGTTTACCTGTGAAACGAAGATAATAGTAAGTATTGGTAAGTAGAGAGAGAGAGAGAGAGGACTAGTGATTGGAGTAATCGATATGATCTGACTTTAGCTATCGTGTGTAGTCTCCATCATTCGTAGGAGGAAGAGCAGGAGATGGTAGGGGTGAAGACTATTTTTTTTCCTCGTTATGATAACCATAACGTCTATGTTTAAATTGTTTATTGTGGGGGTGGGGTGGGTCAGTAAAACAGCGACGATTAACTCCCTACCTGTCTTCCTCTATTGCGTGCAAGTGCTTTAGAGAGATAGTGTGCTGATATGCGAGCTACAGGCTGAGAGGAGGAAAGGGTGATTGCAAAAAGCAGAAAGAGAAAGAGTCGGTTGTGTCTATAGCAGCAGCAGCAGCAAAAATGC